CTTGGAATAGAGGCAACTTTAAAGATTATACGAGCTTACTCGTGTATAATAAACTTTGTGTTTATAAAACCAAGTATAGACCAACAAAGTTATTGCATAAGCTCGCGAAACACTCTGCAAACAGTTGGGTCAAATCTATCGCACGGCGAATTTATATTATCTTTTGTCCTTCTGGTTAACTGCGACTCTAGTGTATCCCAAAGTACGCGTTTGTACGGCCAAAAGGATTAAAAATATCAAACATGTGTTGCACGGCATAAATAATAAAGCGGCGGACGCGGAAAAGTTTTGTGAAACTTAATGGCTCTTGCGGTTTCCGACCACAATAGAAATTTGTTGAAAGGACACTGGTCTGCATACTCTTGTACCGTTCTTGACTGTATCCGCTGTCGTGCACCCTACTCGTTGTGTACTGGGCAGTTGTCACCGTCGTTTGTTTCAGGCAGCCACACGGTCGTAATTGTCCGAAGACTTGGGGCTGACAAAATTTATTGGTCTGCATGTATATACGCACACAGTTTTCGTATACATTTACAATGTCCGTACACTTTGCTTAACCCTCAGCAGTGTTAACGCTCTGCTGTGTATACTTTTGGGTGTGAGGGTAATGATTTCTCAAAAACGAAAGGGTTACGCTAAAAAATTCAAACCGGATATTCGGTTCCAAATGTGTCCAATATTATGTATTAAGTTTTTGTACTCATTCACTGCAAAATTTTAATATGAAATTAGCGGTGAATGATAAAAAATAACTTTCCTTCTGTGATTTGTTACATCATTTTATATTTATCTTTTTGAGTTTTAAGTTGTATTTATTTTACAAAATTAAAAAAAAACATCATTTCAGAATATGCCAAATTTTAACTTGTTATAGTTACTGTATTAAATACGGTTAACATATAATTACTTAAATTTTCCAAAATTCAATTTTAAGTTTACATCAGGTTTTTTGAATGTAACATTACTGTTTTTTGTGTGGCCTGATAATAAATGTATGGTTATTACTTTTGTATGAATTTGAATGACTGAAATAAAATAATTTTTTATTGTGAAATATGAAATATAAAATTCAGACAAAAACGTATAAATAATTTAAGTTATCGTCAGACCGTGATAGGGTTTGGAAAACCGGATGCCGGGCTTCCTAGGTCTGTGTTGTGTGTATATATCAGATCCGCATCTTTTTTGCATAGGCGGAGCCTTTTCTTTTTCAATTTTCATCGCAAGGGCGAAGAGAAGGTATAAGGAAGGCAAAAAAAACCGGAAGTGACGTTTATTATGACCTCGGCCGACGATGATATGCAATTAAATTTATGTGCCGAGACCACCCACTGAAAGGGATGACTATCAAACGGTTCCTACAGTTTTTTTCAGAGACAATACACCTCAGACTTTTGTGGCACGCGTACGCGTATAAAAATATAAAAACAAAACAAGAGTGCTTGTTTTTTCCTACAACGCCGAAGTATATATTGATAATTCTTTAACCCTTTTTTAAGGGGTGCGTGTTTATTATTGTTTTATAAAAAAAAGTTTAGTGTACGCAGTGCCAAAACTTTGGATGGGTGTGATGTTTCTCTTAGCGTAAATCTATTGGGACGCATTCTATTTGCACAAAGTTAAAAGTTATATGATCTTTTAAATTCTCTTAATCAGACTTGGGTTGTAAAAATACTATTTGTACTTGGTGGTAATATGGTTGCTCTGAACTTATCGTATAATAAAATTTACAAAATATCTATAGCGGATAAAAAAAGTCTCCGTACAGCGGTTGTTAGATTTTTTCAATAACATAATATGGTAAATAAAAAGTCGAATAACTTCATAGTTTAAAGAAACATTTATTCAGAAACGTATTTCTTTTTAGAAAAATAAAGCATAAGATGTTTCACAGCTAAATAGAAATTTCTTCATCTAAATGTATTAACTAGGAACTAGTTGTTATATTAGCCACCAAACGTGTTCTTACATTTTTACTTTGTGGTAATCTTACTCGTATCAGTCTATTTATACACATCGCTCTATTAACGATAACTAGTTTTTCAAATTATGTTTTAATTTACAATTGTATATTAGACTTGTCGATGACCGTTTTAAACGTTTGCTCGGACCCTAATCAACAGGTCTAAGACGTTTGTGTACATTTTTTCGCTGGAGTTCACATTGGAAATCTTGATGTCGGTGTGTAAAGAACGGTAATAAACTAGTACAGTTGTTGTCACTGCGATGCAGGGTGAGGTCAGCAGTGGATTTATGGGTTTGTAATAGCAGACAACCTCGACAGAGGGTCCCATTCATCCCCACCCAGCCCTTTAGGAGCGTGTAAATAGTCGCAATTTCAAATGGGTTATTGCCCTTTTTTTCTAAATATTTACACGACAAGTGAACCTTTGCATCATAGACAAAAATGAGAATGTGTCAACTTAACATTACGCGTTTCGATAATTACTTTTTCAACGGTCCTGATTATAAGAACTTGTATAAAGAAAAAATTGTTTGAACTATATATTTACAGGGTGTTAAGTAAGGAAACGGGTTTCTATTGTTTTCATTGTAACAATTTACACGTTTCCTTACTTACTGAGCACGTTGTACATTACTAATAGTTTAACTTATCTGATTTATTAGAAATAAAATGATATTAATAATACAAATATTACCATACTTGTCGCATTCGTTAAATGTTTATTTATAGAATAGTTCTTTGTAATAATTAAAATGTAAGCATTACCTACTGTACAATTTAAATTACAAAACGTACTGCTATATTAGTGTTTGATAATTTTAAACATAATGTAATATTGTTTTAATTGTTTCTTTGGAATTATCTTGCTTTTGTAGTACGAAGCGCAACTGCAATAATATTATGCTTTAGTGATAAATTTAAAAATAAAATTTGTGGTTTTCTCAATGTGTCTGAACAATAAAACCTTTTTCTTAGAAACGACCGTCTACAGTAAATGCTGTTTGTTTTACGTAGATGGTACGTTTAAACAATACATTTCTGAAAATAATTTAATAATGCTTGTTGATTGATACAATTTTATTTAGCGCCTTCTCATAATGGGCTTTTAGTTTTAAACAGGAAAATTTTGTGTACATTCTTTTTGATGTTAGTGAACTTCATCTAAGTAAACACTATTATAATTATTTTTGAATAATGCCTGTTATTTCTTATATAATTTTAAAAAACTCTTAAATATTTGTTAAGTTGTGGTATATCTAAGCGTATGACAGTATTTTTTAACTATTTTACCATGGCGACTAGTAACTGAATATTTAATTTTTTAGAATCCTACCAAGGACGATGTCCAGGATATCTTGGCATACTTAAAATTTTTCAGAGCCCTATCCAAAATTAAACGTTATGTTGTGTAAGGGGAACATATTTATGATACTTTGATAGTATATGATAAAAATATAGTTTATACGATTTTTTTCATTTATAAGTGCATTTGTAAAATAATTACGACATTTTGGTTAGGGATTTTTATTTTTCAGTCCGAAAATATTTTTATTTTATGCTTAAAACACTGAAAAAGTTTTTTTTTTTTATTGAGTCAAGACGAATTAATTGTTAAGGCAAAACAAACGACGACATGCACAAGGTGGTTTTTGTGAACTCGCTGCGACCAAATTTTGCGGGCGGCGGCATACCCACAGAGCGCAGTCGGTACCGAAACGGACGAATACTACCCATGCGAAGGAGTGGTTACAGTCGGACCGTGTGTCGCCCATTGGTTCGTAGGACTACCACCCCGCCCGTCCCACACGATCATATACATGTACAACGCACGTCCATCACCTGTGCGCTCTCCCCGCCACCGTTGTTTTCCCTTACTCCTACAAACGAGTCGAAGAAGAAACAAAATAAACAACAACCGATTTGCCTCATTATTACAGTTACCGGATGGTGAGGCGGAGGAAATTTTTCTCGTGTCTATACTCCTACCCCGCATGGTCGACCGATACCAGTCCTCCTCCTCGATATTGCCATCTGTATGTACATGAATTTTTTTGTTATTATTTTTATTAATATTTTTATTTTTTGTTCGGAAATATTTTCTACTGGCATTACGTTTACGGCAAGTGCAGTTGATGTTACGGCTGTTGGCGCGATCACAGAACACGTTCAAAATATTTTAAACATCTGATTTTTTTTTTATTCAGTTTCGATCATAAATTATTGAAGAGCGATCGTCGGTAGTGCGTTTTGACTGTTCATTATTATAATTACTTTAATGAAAACGAGTGTGCGAATAAGAAATTTCCGGGAGTGCTTTGTGAATTGATACTTCTAATTCATAGTAAAAAAATATAAAGTCACTTTTCAATATATATATATATACTACATTAATATTGAAGGTAAATTTTAAAATATATTAAAATAAATTATTATTGATGTTTTATAAAGATTCATAAAAGTTCATTAATTTATATAAAAATGTCTTGGTTTTAATTTTATGGAAACATCATGTCCGTTTCAAATTTGACTTACTATTTTACAAAGTTAAATGTTTATGATTGAATAAATGTGCATTACTAAAAGAAAACATTATAAATTTCATTAAAATAAGGATTTGTACAAAATTATTTTATTCAATAATCTACTAAGATAAAAAGAAAATTTAATAATATTTTTCCAAAAGATTTCAATAGATAATCTTATGTTTTCTTACTAGATCCTTTAAGAAATCCAAACCGGGCACTTAAAAAAAAATTAAAAAATATGTATAACATAAATGTATTTTTCGTTACAATAATATAATTTAGAATAAAAATATGTCTAATGATAATTGAGAATTCAAAAAGCTCATACTTTTTATATTAATAAAAAATGTTATTTTTAATTGCTTTGTATTAAGGTAGAGGTTATAATAAAATATAAATATTTTAAACTAACATAAGATTCTAGAATAACTAGCATGTTACCCTAAAGATGAAATAAAATATTAAGTATTGAAAGCAATTTAACATTAATTATACTTAAAATGTTACATTGCATATGAATATGTACACATTTTCAAAATATGTTTTATTTATTTTAAACACACTTGTAATAAAATTTTTTTTCAATTCAAGTTTTATTTGTCAAGATTGTTAAAATAATATATTCACTTTAGTAATATTTTTGACTTATAATAAAATAAACATTAATATTCAAAAATTTTGATATAACTTTTTCTAGATAATTTTAACATATAAAGTTGAATTAATTTGATTATTTTAAAAATCAATTTTTTTTGTCGACGCTTAAGATGCTTATACATTTTTTTTAGGAGGATATAAAATCATTTTTACGCTCGTGTTCAACCGTAACTTTAAATAGTTTATAGTATTTTAAAGACAGTTTAATATAAAAACTTAGGTCATAACAAAACTATTATATATGTACACATATCTTGTTCATTCATACAGTTTTCTTAATGCTTGTATAGTTAACTATTTTTTTAAAATTAAATATGAATTAATTTTGGGTAATTATTGAGTTCCAAGTATTGAAGCTTTTAAACTTACTCTATGGTAATTCCTTATGTATTCCTTTTAATTGTTTTAAGTCGGCGAGAAAGGATTAAGATGTATTTGATTCAATCTTACGTGTAGCAATTATTATTATCTCATTATTTATTAACATGTACATCTAACGTACACATAATCATTACAGCGGATAGAATCATTAATTATTTTGTTCATCAGAATAATCGATTAGGATAGACAATGCAGAAATTAAGGCAGGTCACGGACAGTCAATTTATATACGAGTAGAATAAGCTCTTCTTTAGGGATTTATAAAGGATTAATGCAGTTATCTCTACACAAATACATTGATTGATCATTAAACAACACCATAATTGTTATATTCATTGATTTCATTGGTTCAACGTTGGGATACGACGTTTGTAAACTAGTGTTATATTTAGTAAAAAAAATAAGCATAGGATCTCATATGTTCTATAAATTATGATGACAAAAATGTTTTTAAACAGTTTTAATTAACTAATTATTAGTAATTATTAGTAATTATTACATTTATTTTTTATTTTAAGTAATTACATGAGTTATAAGTTATTATAAGATCTTTTTTTGTATTAAATAAATTAAAAGTAATAATTAAATATAAATATACAAGTTAATTATTTGTAGAAGTTTTATTGACGTTTATTAAATAGTAATTAGTAAATAATAAATGACAACAGTGATAATTCAATATTTGCAGCTTTCATATTATTTTCAACCATTATATTTCAAATATAAATATTAATAATTGTATAATTCTATTTTATCCTTTTTGTACAAATATAAATTTATCTATTAGCATTTGAAGCATACTTCCATCATAATAATTCTGGTACAAAGTAAAAATATTTTGTAAGTTCAGGTGACACTTTATAGTGAAAAGAAATATTAATTTTATAAATTTTCTTTTTTTAATTTGTGTAGTTTCTTTAAGTTGAAAAATATTTTTTTTATTTTGAACAGTGGCGGCGTCTTTGCAAAAAAGTCTTTTTATATTTTTTTAACATATGCTGATATGTGAGCGTATATCCTTGAATATAAATAGTATATGAGTTTTATTTTTCTAAGGTATACATTAATTAAAAATAATGTTAATAGATATACACCGTATAACACCCAAAACACCACTAATTTTGTTGCTATATCATTTATAAAAACACTAATTTGCCTGCACTTATTAAAAAAAAACTGTGGATTGTAATAAAGTGGAATATTTTGACAAAAAAAAAAAGAAAATCTATATTTCTTTTCAATCAAAAATTTTTTTTCATCTTAGTATGAACTTATTGTACCTAAACGCCACAAGCTTATGCAACGCACGTGTTGCTCATAATTTAATATTTATGTACACATTTTTTTAGAAAGATTAATAAGAAATTTGAGAAAAAATAAGTGTTGTATCATTATGCAAGTATATACATGATACACATGTGCGGACGCAAAGAGAAAGAACGAGGACAACCTTCCTCTTCCTCCTTCTACTCCTTGTTCTTCTAGCTTTCTTGACAAAAGATAACACTTCGTATATAATAAGGTTTCTATATGTGTGTGTGTAATGATTGACAGGTGTGTGCGGTGGAAAAATTGGGTCCGGCGGCTAATAAGTGCTGAACAGCAGAAAAGGCGGTACCGGTGACGCACGCGCACCGGTTACGGACGACGCGGGAAAATCCTTCGCAAAAAGTAGCAGCGACTCACCATCGTAGTGCCGCCACGGTCATAGCTGTCATACGCGCTCGATGGCCGACAGTCGGCGGACGACGCTCGTCGACGATGACTGCAACTTACCAGTGATAGTCACGACTGGCGGCTATAACCGGATAACAATCTAATTCTACATTATTAATTGATACTAGTGTATTACGTGTTAAGTTTATATTCGTGTGAAGGACGGCAACGTTGTCCTGTGAAAAAAAATTTAAATAACGTATTTTTGAAACGATCATCCGTGGATGTTGTAATTGTGCCCGCTGTTGTCGGTACGTTGGTGGCAGAAAATTTCGCTGAACAATTTGACAATATGATGTTAAAAAATACCGAAGCGGACATGAGACCGGGCAAACAGCAGCAACTCATGTTGGCCGGTTTCGGTGGACCGCAAATGTTGGTAGCGGATGCGCTTCACGTCGGTAACGGCGGCGTTGGAGTGGATGCGGTCGACGAAGACGACGATGACGATTGTGGCGTCGACCGCAAAGACAATATGTACATGAAGGACTCGCCTTCGGCCGGTCTACAAGACGGAAACGGGTTTTGGATGGCGGCCGTATCCGCCACGGGACCACAAATGGACCACCACACTGCCGCTACCGACTACCAACCGGCACCGGTGCCGGATTACATGATGCACCACGTTATGGGTGTTGGCAACGAGAACGTGTCACCGACCGATCAACAGCAGCACCAGATGTACCAGATGCAAGGAGATCAACAAACCGGCGGCGGAGGAGGTGGCGGCCAACAGGAATATCCTTGGATGAAGGAGAAAAAAACGACGAGGAAAAACAACCATCAAGGTGAGTGGCCTTTTATTTTTTTTTTGCTTATTAGCAGCCCGTTGGTGGCACTTCAAGCGACTCATAAGACTGCGTTGAAATGTATTTTACATAGTAAACCGCATATTCAATGTAAACGCGCGCAGATGGGTAGGATCGAACGGGTGTATCAAATAGAAGTTTGACGGGAAATAATGTGGCGTCAAAAAGTTTTGATTTGAAATGCCGAGAGCAACTTTGTTTTGACAAGGGACGAGTAACTATGGTTGGGTTTGGTAGACACTTGGGAAAGGAGACCATGTTACTTGGGTTGATCAACAGGAAATTTTACTGAAAATGTGACTTGTTCTTAAAACCGCGATAAACCTTTTAGTAATTAAAGCTGAAAATATTCGTGTATAGTATCTTATTAAAATGCACGAAGAGGAAAGACTTAAAAATATGTCATCTATCTATCTTTTTCTTAAAAAATTAAAACTTAAAGCGCAATTTCATGAAGTGCGGGGATTGATTATGTAATAGATCTTGTTTAATCAATTTTATAATTATAAATTCATTTAGACAAATACATTTGTTTTACTGCAGTTTTTATGCAGTAATTTATATTAATTAAGAAATTTTACTATTGTCGGTTAAACTTTTAACGTTCGTTTCCTTCAGTATTTTCTTTAAAATTTAAATTCTGTAATCAGTTAAAACTATATACATGATATTAAGCTATTACATGAATTATTTAATAATAATTTGTATCGTTTGAAGTATGATAATACTTAATAAATAACCGGGTAAACATAAAAATGTGCATAACTTTACTCACATATGTGTTTCTCCATTTATCATTTTATATTATACACTCTGTATTACGGTACATATTCAAATTCACCTCATTTATGATGTGTCGCGAGAACCGTTAAAGGGGATATTTAGGAAAGATGTTTTTTATTAAATAAATTTTCACATACTCGACCCACAACTTTCCACATAAACTTCCCCTTGCCATAAAAAATGATCATTGTGCCAAATTATTATGTTAAAACTTTTGACAAAAAAACTATTGCGTTAAAATCTAACAGAAAGATAATATTAGTATGTAAACTTAATTCAATAAAGTTTTCGAAACACCTATGAACAAAATCTTGAAGTATTTTAAACTTAAATAGTGACAGAGTGACAATTATTTTATAGATAAAATAGATTTAGAAATCACAAGCTATTTTTCAAATCAACACATGTCCATAGAATGCGAAAAATTTTGATTAATGGAGTGAGAAATATTTTTAGAGACTGATCTTAATTTTTTATAATATTATTTTTGGATTAAAAATACACTAATATGTTTATATTTAGTCTAAAACGATTTAATCGAGTCATTCTAAATGTACGTAGAATGGCTCAATTAGGCTGATTAGATAAATGAAAAACTTTATGATTTCTTTGAAAAAGAAAAACGTTTAATAATCTGGAATGACTTTAGTAATGTCTTTTGTGTTTAATTTGGACTTTAACATCAACATTTGATTTTCACGATAAAATTGTACGATCAGAGGAAAATATTAACCAAAAATATTTCATTTTGTTGACACTAAATTATTTAGTATTTTTCATTGAGTTAATTGTTACAACGATGAAACTCTTAAATTTAGAAATTATTACTTTAGTTAATGTACATCTAAAGTTACATGGTTTTAAACACATAATTCAACAAAAATAATTGAATAAAATTATTTGAAAAAATGATTTTTTTTTTAGTTGATAAATTCATCTGATCTTTCACCGACGAATTGATCGTGTTTGACATTCGGTCGGAGGGTTTGACCGTGTCGATTTATCATTAAGTGCTCTGACGGTGTTTTATGACGACGGCGGGGTAGATAAATCAGTTGTGTTTCTCACGATCCCGTTGAAACAAGCCAAGGGATCTAAATTAACCAAAAAAAAAAGTTATTAAAAAATGTTTATATGTTTAAAAGATAATCGAATATTGAAAATATTATATAACAAAGCCAATTAATCGTTTAACGCGGTTTTTTATAATTACATTACCTCATAAATGATGTATTAGTGTTATTTAAATGTTCANATTAATAATACTATTTATCTATGGAATTCGGCGATTAAAAATTGTTTTTGTCCAAGTTAAGCTATTGAGCCGCTTTTTTTAATTACATGAACATTTTTTTTTAGTCTCGTGTTTTTTTAATTAAAATACTATTTGAAAAATCGACAACCTGCTAGATCTCAAAAAATAATATACAAAAAAATTGAAAATAAAATGCTTGTTAATGAAATAACTTTAAGTTTGTTGGTCTTGTACTATAATTTTACTGTATTTAAATGAAAGAAATTGAAAGTGTATAAACGTTGGTGTGTCAACAGTCATGCGGAGTTATTGTTTGGGCGAAAAATGTTAAAATTAATTACTATAATTTGCTGAGCATTTGAAATGAGTAAATAATCCAATATCAATCGGAAATTATTGTATAGCAGTCGTTGGCTGTAATTGTGTACGATAGATAGCTGGTCTGTTGTGATTTTTTGATTGGAGAACGTGTAATTGCATTAACGTCAGTCGACACTGCTACTGCTCCAGCTGCTGTATGTGTATATTGTATGTACAATAAAGAAGGTCAGCACGAAATAATTTTAACAATATGATTATAATAATTACTGTAATTATACATTGAACGCACATGGCTTGTGCACAATACTTATACGTTTGTACGTAGATTTTTGCTTAACACATTGATAAATAAATGTCGCAAATTATACATCGATATTGTTGAAAATTCTGTCTATATTATTCATCATTAAATGCGAGTAAAATTGTCTTTATCAAACTAATAGTAAGCGGTTAAAAATTCGTTGCCGTTGATAGCGCATTAGATTACTTGTTAATTTTTTTATAAACAGTAAATTTTATTATTTATTTTCAAGATTTTTGAATTTGGATGATGGATACACTTCAAGTTCAATCAAATTTTGATATCTGATATTTTATTGAAATTTATTTTTTAATTTATGTGTGTCATGTATTGTGTGGACGGCGGACAATAATTATTTCTTGAAAGAGAGACTTGAACGAGTGCGTATGAAATTCTACAACGCGAAAAAATAAAAAACACATGGATGATGAAATATGTAACTTCTATTACTATACCTTTATTCCTGATTTTCCGAGAACATCAATAGACGTGTGTTTGCTAAGATTCCGAATTGGAAAAACTGTGCTAAAATGAGACACGTCTTAAGTGTTATCGCACAGTAAATGTATAACGATTTAAAAACGTTTTATTGATAAAATCGGAATTATACATTTATATTATACAGTTATAAATAGTCTAGTGTATAATACATTGTCTTACAAAGTGATTTGCGGATTTCCAGTGGTTACTCTTTAATGCATTAGGTAAATAAAATAAAGATAAATATTTAAAATTTATAGATTCATTTTATATAATCACTCAAGGCAAAGTTTATTATATAAGTATATTTGTTCGTATTAATGATATTTATACATAAAAAAAGAGATAATTTGGTAAATTTATGCAATATTATTAATTATTTTATAATTTTAAATATAATTCTATGTAATATTTAGTGGTAAACTTTAGTTGTTTTTTTAAAATATATTGAGATTTTATTTTTACAAATATATATAATTTATTACATGTCAACTATTATAAATATTGAATATTAAAAAGATTTATTTAAATAATAATATTTGTGCACTAAATAAATAACTATGATAAATTGAGATTGTAAAAT